AAAAAAAGTGGGAGAAAGAAGGTCCGGACATGGGTGAGGCTGAGGCAGAAGAGGAATGGTCAAGAGGAGGATGAAAGAGGGTGGTTTTAGGCCAAACAATGGCAAGGGGGAAGTGGCAGAGTGGGTTTGCATGGAAATGGGCAGAGGGCTTCAGGGCTAAACCCCAAGGGGGGGAAGAAGGGAACAGAAGATATACACAGTTTGTTTGGTTGTGTAATTATGGAGGGAGAAGGCTTGGAATGGTTCTAGGGTTTTACTTACGTACGTATTATGACGCTACTCTACTACTACTACTACCACTACTACTCTTTATACGTTTTGGGCTCATTCTTCCCTGCCTCTGCTACCCAGATGTGCATCCTTTTCCTTTGTGTATGGCAGTTCATGTGAGCCAAGAAAAGAAAAACTCAAGTTTATAACACATTTTGGAGCACCACATTGGAATTATTGGCTAAACACAGCTCTTTGAATAGGGCAATGAATTCATGCAGCTATAGTTATTTGAATGTAACAAAATTTAGGCTTTATTTGAGGAGTTTTTTAAATACCTGTTACCTAAAATAGGATGTAAATTGAAGTATGGATAAATTTTAAGCTTAGCCTTAAATATCCCAGGGAGGACAACCAAACCCTATATTATGGGTTTTCTGCGGATTTTTTTCCTGATAAATGAAGTAATATTTCATAAATAAAAATATAATATAATATTCTAATAATTGTTGAAAATTCAAATTTTAATTTAGGTCCTACTCTTTCAGATTTATACATATAGATATATTTATATTTATATATTAAAAGTGAGCGGATTGGGGCAAGTGGAAATTTGACTAGGTTAGGGATGGGGAAGGAGAATATAATCCACCCTAAACGAAAAAAAATCTCCTCACTTCCTCTCTTGTTCCCCGTTTAAACGAGGATTTCTAGTTACGGGTGAATTTTTATGGGTCTCCATAGATTAAATAGATATTTATAAATAAATTTTGTTACAATTGATATGCTATTAGATCTCTATCTAAATTTAGGACAAAATTTATTCCTAAACTTTATTGTTAAGATAATTACTCATAAGTAATTATCATGTTATGTTTATTTATTGGCATATCATATCAATAAAATATAAAAACTTGTTTTATGATTACTTGCATGAAGATTGTATTTTGAATTTGTTTGTAGAAACTTAACATAATTTGATTTATTTTATTTTATTTTTTGGTTGGAGTTTGAATGAAAAATTGATGATTGATGGAAGAAGGTGGAGTGAAAATGATGATTATGGAGAAGTCTAGAAGTGAAATAGGATCTTCCATTTGTGATTGCCATTGATCTTTGATTTGACCCTCATCAATATTCATCCATCCAATTCCAATTCCAATTCCAATTCACTCATCTTCGAAAATTGGTGCCTATTTTTATCAAATCTTCAAAGAAATCATTGTTCTACAAAGCCTGGAACACGCAATAAAAATAAGAAACAAAAAACAAAACCAAATGGTGTCCCATTCTGGTGTCACTTCTTCCAATAACGCCGCCAAAGCGATGATGGAGCAAAACTCAGTTTTGTCTCTGTCTTTGTCTGTCTCGTAGTAAAAAAAAAAGGAACAAACATTTAAAGCTCTTGACATGACTTCTTTATTATACTTATCACTTTCAATCTTCATCAGAAAATCCCACAAAACCTTCAAACCCTAACCATGCCTCATCGTCCTCATCATATTAACCCTCCTCTCCCACTTCCACCTCAACCCATTTCCGCCTCTGTTCCCTTCCCCCACTTTCTTTACCTTCACAACTCTCCCATGGCCTCCGGTTATCCGTCCAAGCCCTTGAATCCTAATGCCGACCCATTTCTCTCTGCACCCCCCACGTTTCTTCCTCCGCCCTCCCCCCATTTTGTGTCGGGGTATGGAAATTTGTATTACCCACGTGCCACTTCTGCTTACGCATGGCAGTTTCATAGTTTTCCGGCTGTTTCCTGCTATAATGCCTGGCCGCAGGTTGTGTGGCCGTCGTATCAGCCGGCTGTGGGTTTCGGTGGTTGCGCTGTGGCAGATTCCAAGCTGGGGAGAGAGTTTGTCGTTTCGAGTGGGCCAAGTAGAGATATCAAATGTCCGCCGGAATGGGTCCAGAAGAAAATCAGTAGCGATGAGGACAATAACGCCGATGTCGACGACCCAGTTGAGAAAACTGTTCCTTGCTCGGGAATTACAACGTTGATGATCAAAAACATTCCCAATCAGTTCAAGTGGGTTCTACTGTTCTTCCTCTTTTAATGAATTATATTACTAAAATATAACAATTTAAGAACGTGGCTAGTTCTTTGATCTGAGAATTTTCTTGGAGAAGGATAAAGGTGGAATCAGAAGTGGGGTTGTGGGCTTAATTCCTACTTTTGTTGTTTTTCGGTTAAATGGGAATGTGGGTTTTTAAATGATTTCATGCTGCACTTCCTCTGGTTTCTGCCCTTTCTCGCTTTTTGTCTCCTCATTTGGTAATATTTCTTTATGAGATTCATTTCTATTGTGTTCTTTTTTATGTCTTAGCTATACATTTATTGCCTTTTTAACTTTAAAACAATTTTGAAAAGCAGGCGGCGAGATCTTCTGCAGTTGTTGGACAGATACTGTCAAGTGATGAACCAACGAAGGGATTCACGACCTGATTTCTACGTTTCTGAATATGATTTCGTTTATTTACCCATGGATTTCATGTGGGTTATGATCAATATCTTGTAATTCTTCTTTGGTTGCTGCAATTCTCCATTTCAGTTTGGTTGTAATCATTTATGGCTTTACAGGAGATCATGGTACGAAGGGAAAGTGTCGAATCTGGGCTATGCGTTTGTAAACTTCACCACATCAATGGCTGCATCCCAGTTTTGCGCAGTTTATCACAACTACAAATGGGATGTGAATGTCAACAAGAAAATTTGTGAGATAACGGAGGCTAGGATTCAGGTTCATGTAGAAATTGATGAATTGTTCATTCATTTTATTGATATTACATGTTTTAGAATGTAAAATGAATGCTTCATTGCGATGGAAAACTCAGGGAAAGGAAGCTTTAAAGAATGCATTCAAGAACAAAATCTTCTGGTGTAGCAACGATCAATATCTGCCTGTGATGTTATCTCCAGCGAGCAACGGTCGACGTCGTTACCGAAGGGTGAATGTCGGAAGGCGCATAGCTCGTCTTCCTCGCAAGCCGCTCAAGAAGTTGAGCTGTTGAGGAGGAGAGGTCTCCATTGTAGTAGGTGGGCAGGCATGGAGTTGGTTTGTGTTTTGGTTTACTTTTCTTGTAGGTTGATGAAAGGGGGTGGTGGGTGTTGTGTTTTCATTGTCTCCCCGAGCGCCGCAGTTTGTTTGGGGAGAATTGAAAACACGAGGGGATGTTTGTTTGTTTGTGTGTTTCTCCTTTTTCTTGGGAGGAGGGAGGGAGAGAGGGAGGGGAGGGGGCTATGATGTCTGTATGAAATGCTTTCTTTTCTTCAGTAATATTCTCTCCTCTTTTACTCGGTTGTATATATAATGTTTTGATCATCTCTAGAAATTGTTGGTTTGGTTGTTCTTCCGGTAATGGGTCTCTCTGATAGTTCTCAAGCTTTTATCGATATTCAAAGCGTTATGGGTAAATTATTTTGGATTTGTTTTTCCCGAAACTGATTTGTAATTTCCAATGTTCCAAATTTGTTTTGCAAGGCTTTATCTTTGGATTATAAGTAATCTTGATCAGTTATTTTTTGTCACCAATTATTATTTTTTTCTATGGAATTAATAGCTTAAACCAATCGTTTTTCATGTTTGAAAGAGTTATATTTATTCATTCAAATAAGTAATTTGGTTGAAATTCTATTTTTTGGGTTTTAACGTGTCTTCATTAGTTTTATAATAGTCCTTTTTATCATAGTCAAAATTTATACATGATAGGCCATCAATTCTACCCTAAATTTTAGTTTAGGGTTAATACTATGAAGATTGTTCTTAGATTCTCTAGTAGGTGAAAATCATGATGCTCAAAAACGCTCGTCAATCTATGTGGTTTTTTCTTTATATCCAAATATGATCGCGACTCAAGAGTGGTTAGAAAACCCTTAACCGCACCCACATGTTTTTCAAAGGGTGTTAGGTTATGGAGGCATGCTTAGATTACTCATAATATACAGGGTAAATGATATTTATACTAAAATATTTATATATAGTAAACATTTAATATAGTATACGACTTGAATGGCTATACATGGTAGAAGATTTTAACTATATAGACATATATACTCGACAAAACTATATATATACCCCTCATGTTGCTTATTACTATATATAAATATTTGGAATCATCAATATAAAAACTTTTAGCTAGTATTTCTACTTCTCCTATTCTCGAGTTGTCCTGTTCTATGTTCATCTACATGAGTTGTTGTAGGGTCCTAAAATAAAATTCATGCATTTGAGAGCTCAACTCTTGTTTCTACAAATTTATGTATTATTGTAGAATTGGGATCGTTCTCTAATAAGAAATTAGTTAAAGAAGTTATAATCATCTCCACAATATACAAGTCATCATAGTTACTTCTAAAAATGTTATACATACCCAACGATTGAATCAAGTTCACCAACTAACCCTTAATCGTCCCCATATAACAAAATAAACATATCATGCATGAACATATCATCAATAAGGACATAGTATAGTAATCTAATCATCCTTTTAGATTTTCGGATTCAATAAATTTTAAACTAAAACCCACTTACTTTATCGCGATTGAAATTGGTTCTCCCCAAAGCCTCTTTATTCAAATTGATGCCACGTCCAAGGCCTGGCGCTGACGAACAATACCTCCACAGAGCATATCATTTTATTAGCGATCTTGTTGATGGTTTAGACTAGTTCACCGTCCCCAGAGATCCAATAGAAAAGATTGTGTTAGTAAAATGAGTTATAATAATGGACCCCTCATTAACTACTCGAGCATTTGAAGAGGGTGAGCGCATCTGTAAGATAGAACATGACACAGCAATAACACAAAAGTATTTTCATGAGGAAATCAGATGCAAATCCAGAGTTTAAAACAATACGTCTCTAAGCTTTTACAAGAGATTCAATGGCAAAGGCCTCAACGAGGAGCCTTCTTCTTCCCTGCAATGGCGACCTTCTTACCCTTCAACGTCCTGCAGTTGTTTTTCGTTCGCTGCCCTCGGCATGGCAACCCCTGGATGTGTCGAATCCCTCTATAACACTGAATCTCTTTCAATCTCCTTATGGCAAGTGCGTTGAAACGCCTCTGCAAAACCCAACAATTACATTTTTAAGCACTTCACAAAAGAAACAGAGACAACCAACGTCTGTAATTCTAACACACACACACACAGAGATAGAGAAAGAGAGAGACCAGATCTCCTTCAATCATGTACTTGGAAACTTCATCTCTGATAGATATGAGTTCCTCCTCAGCTAAGTCCTTGGTGATCTTATTCTCCACGTTTAGATCAAACAGTATTTTCTTAGCATTGTTGCGCCCAATTCCATGTATATACTGAAGGGAGTATAGAACTCGCTTGTTGTTTGGTATCTCAACTCCTCCAACACGGACACACTTGATTTGAAGACCAGGAACCTGAATGGTTCAAAATTGAAGGAACAAAAAATGAGGGAATCATTCAAGAAGAAACAGGGATATCATGTGAGTTTGAAACTTCGTAGGAGTTAAACACCGGACCTCCTACTCCGATACCAAGTTAAATCACAAATCAACTCAAAATCTTAAGCTAATGGGATACAAACTTTATCCTGTCCAGCATAGACTAGCAAGTCAAATTTCCATTTAAGGTCAGCCATTCGTTGCCATAATCTACTCTTTTCGTCCAATTATATCTGCTTAATCTTTATAATCCATCATGCACAGAAAGGGTGAGGAAAATGGGAATTGGGATCCTGAATTTGATTCATTTAGACACTAGCAATTAGGGAAACGAAACGCAGGAATTTTTGTTTCATCACACTGTTCAATGAAGTGTAGAGGCAGAGTCTAGTACTGTAACCGAGGAAAAACTACGGACAAACTGAGTGTAGAGCATCACAAAAAGGAAATTCAAACGAAAGAAAAAAAAAAAGAAGCTGAGTTGAGAGTAGGTTCTGTAATAATAGTTTCACAGAATCAAGCTGCAATACTCACGAGCAAAGGGAATGCAGAAATCAAGAAACAGATACAATATGAAATCAAGAAGACAATAGCCAAGTTCCGCAGGATAAATATAATTGGGCAAAATCCCTCCACATCGAAAAAAATACATGAAATTAAAGCACGAAGTGGAAACTGTAGAGCCGAAGTAAGTAATTGAACGGAGGAAGAAGGTAAAATTGAAGAAAGGAACTCCATAGTTGAAGTCCAAAGAAGAGAAGATTTACCCGAGGGTTTGAAATGGGGAAGGAGATGGCGTTAGAGAGAGGATTGGAGGTTCGAGAATTGCAGATAAGGGAGAGCGAAGGAGCGACGGGCAATGCTAAAGTGTGCGCCATTATCTCCTCTCTTCAAACTTCTCACTCACCAAACGGCAATCAGCACATTAGTGGATTTCTTCAATCCGATTGAACTCCGAGCGGCTCTCTGGTTTCAATGCCAACCTTATCTTCTTCTTCTTCTTCTTCTTCTTCTTCTTCATCCCGCTTACAAAAATGTGGATAAAGGCCAGCTCAAACAAACTCAGAGGCCCAAACTTATTCGTTTTATAATGGGCTTGGCCCAAACTTATTCGTTTTAGAATGGGCTTGGCCCAAACCCAGGCCCAAGTTTAATTATTACTTTTTCTTCAAAACTTCTTATTCATTTATAAATCATATTTAAAATATTAATATTTTTATCATTTAATCTAAATTCAATTTGAAAATGGGTTATGATCGACTCAAGTTGAAGATGGGCATTTTCAAACTAATGTAGGGCATGTTGCCCATGGTTGCATGTCCATGTCATGTCAACGCCATATCCTTTATTTAATTTCATATTGTATTTTGACTATTTAGCGATCGTCCAAAAATGTACCATAGGGGATACGACCCGTCGTTAACTCCTCCCACCTAGATATTGTATAACCATTCGCCGAAATTACGTTACGTCTAGGTTTGTCAGTCCTGAATTATCTCAAAATGTACAGCAGGGAGATGCGACTAGTTGTCAAGTCTTCCTACCCGAGCTATATAATATTTAAGTTGTGTTTCTTTCTTTGCAAGCACACCTTCTTTCAATCTTGCTTTCAAACTCTTCTTCAAAAATCTCTCTACCCCTATTTTCTAAAACATTCTTCTCAAAACGGAGTCAAAGGCTTAATAAGCATACGTTGTATGACTATAGATGACACAAATCTAAGTTGACTTGACTCACTCGGTGTTGAGAGTGAGTGCCGCACAATCGCAAAAATCCACTGCCAAGGAAAGTGCGATTGTGACATCTAACAACCTATCATCGCTATCGTCTACACTTATTGCTGTGCTGAAGTTGATATCAATTCCTCTTTTGAATCCAACTATGAGCTTGATGAAAATAATGTATAGCTAAATAAATGTGTTATTGTTTTTTTTTTTTTTTTCATATAGTATGCACATTATATTGTATCTAATATTGGGTATATGGGCCTTCTGAAATGGTGAAAATTAACACAGCCTCAAACAAACAGATTAAGAGAAGTGAACAAATTACGAACAGTTTAAGCAATTAAACCAGTAGAAATGCAAATTGAGGCATTTAAACGTTTCTAAAGAGGAGGAATTCCAGAACCATTTGTTAATAACCAGTTCATAATTTCAACAGCTATTGAAGTCTTATGCTAAATGTGATGTATCAAGTGCATATGAAGCATTACAAATGCAAAAAAGAGAAGGAATTGCAGAACCATTTTCAACGAGAAGCTTTCTTCTTTCCAGAACCGATCTGCTTCGACTTCATAGTCCTAGCATTGGTCTTTGTTCGTTGGCCTCGACATGGCAATCCTTCACCATGCCTAATCCCTCTGTGGCACTGAATTGCCTGCAATCTATCAATGTCCTTCTTAACACACTTATTCTGCAACACAGACACAAAAAAATAAACATCCTGTTTGAAATTCATGGGAAGAAAGATGGTGAAGAGAGCCGCTAATTTACCAACTCATGTCCGACCATGTACTTCGAAATTTCGTCCGCAAGAACAACAATCTCTCGTTTAGTCAAATCCTTGGCAAGCTTGTTCTCCAAGTGGAGCTCAGCAAGAACTTGCGGCGCTCTCGATCGGCCAATTCCATTAATGTACTGAAGCGCATATTTGAGCGGCTTGTTATCGGGAATCTCCAAACCCGCTTTTATGTGAATCGACGCGATCTACACATATCATCGACAAACATTCAAAATCTTCCAACGCACAAATGTTTTAAACTCAAAAATCAAATCGAATAACAAAACTCCAGAGATTCACAAGCCCTAGATCGTATTACTCTTGTCGCATCGCAATCAACAAATAATTACGCAACGTTAACGAACTCACTGATAATGATCGGAAGCGATGAAGAAGATCATTGGAGACAACCCCCAGGGAACGACGAACTCCGAACATTATTCGGCGGAGGAGGGTTCCAGTGAAGCGGAAGAGAGAATTCAGACGGCGAAGGAAAGAGAGAGCCGAAGTATTGTTCGGCCAAACGAAGCCCACGGTTTTCAAATCCAACCCGCTCGCCCGAGAAAGCCCATTAAGAAAACGAGTTACATACGTGGGCTCTTCTAGAATTACTTGATCCATTAATGTCCATAACACACAATAATTTATGACTTAATTTGATTAATTTCTATATAATATGAATTTTACTACATTTTTCCTTTATTAACTTTCATTAATTATATGTTTTAATTTTTAATAAAATTCAGTAACATCAAATAATTATTATTAAGAATATGTATAAAATTTTCAATGTGATAAATAAATAACACGTTAGAGTAAGCTAATTATTTAATGAATGACTTATTTATTTTTAATAGCATTATTATAATGTGAAACACTTATGCGATAAAAATTGGTATTCTAGACGTCACATACATTCAAAAAAGGACGACATAAATTAAATTTTATTAATTATTAATACGTGTATTTATTTAATAACAATTTTTTAGTGTGTTATATTAAACACATTTAACATCTATTTTTAAAAAAATTTAAATAAAAAATACTTGTATTTTTTGTTTGAAAAATAGATTGGGACGTTGACATTTACATAAAATAATATTGATTAGGGATTATAGTTTTGTAGTATTTCATCTATAACGAATTAAATAGATAATAAAAGAGAAAAAATGACGGAAAATAGACACGTGGAAAATCGAAAACAAAATATTGGGGATTTTTACATATTTGCTTCATTGACTTTATTTATATATTTTAAAATGTTTTCATTTGACTTTTATTACACCAATATATATGATTAGTGATTTTAATATAAATAAAGAAATGTATTGAAAGCAAAAAGCATCCTATTACCACGTCGACTCTTAATGCACTAATTATTTTTTAATGTGATTACTGAGCACATTAATCATAAACACACCTATTATTGTAATAAATAAAATTATTTGAGCTCAATTACGCCACTCCCACTTCATTGGCGCTTTAATTGAATTTTTTATAAAAAAAAACTTATAATATAAAATAATATTTGATAAATTCAGTCACATGATTAATATTTGGTTAATATGAAATTTTTAATGCATTCTTTTATAAGAAAAATTAAATGAGTAACAAATGAGAGCTTATCATATTTCAAACGTATGAAAAGTGATGATTATCTAATTAATATTTTCAAATATCTGTTTTAATTTTTATATTTTCAAATATCTAAATTTAATTATTATACTTTCAGGAAATTTCAATTATTTTGGACATTTAAAAATGGTAAAGAAAAATAAACAGATATATTTAAATTAATAAATAAATATTTTACACTTGGTAACTAAAAGAAAATTGGTTTTAATTTATATTATATTCATATTAGCCATATTTTATTGCTTAATTTATAAATAATAGGCGGTGAGGACTACATAATATCATGTAAGCCATGAGGTAGCGAATAATTCCCCCTTAATAATTGGAAAAACAACGGCACAAATTAATGGGACTTCAAATAAAATAATAATTTACCATTTTTTATTGTGTTGACTTGGAATTAGTCAACACGTACTTCACTACAATATTTCCCCAATTGCCGCCTCATTTCGTTAGTTTTTAAATTTTAAATTTTAAATTTATTTTCTATTTGTTGGACTGATTTAATTTTTCTTTAAAAAAATTGAATGCTATATTAAACACAAGATCAAATGGTTAGACGAACACAAGTCTCCGCAATGGTATGATATCTCATCGTTTTGCTTTGGACTTCTCCAAAATGCCTCGGGACCAATGTAGTTAGTATTTCTCACTTATAAACCCAGGATCATTTCCTAAAGTAGCAGACGTGGGACTTTCATTATCCAACATAAATAAGTAAAAATTTAATTTTAAATATTAAAGTCATTGAACAAATGTAAAAACAATAAATAAATAATGAAATTATGTCACTAAATTAATATGTCCAACATGTTGAACGTACCAGGTAGTTCAAATTTCAATTTCAATGCTCAACAGGACTGAATCTACATGCAGAAAATTATAATTAAAAATTATAATTAAATTAAATGAATGCCATAAAATTTGGAAAGTTGATTTTTTTTTTGTTAAGTTTAATTTAATTCAACTTTTATTATTATTTGATTCAATCAAATCAATTTAATTAAACTAATTTACCCTTTTTTCTATAAGCTTAATTTTTTTTTAATCATTCTTCTCCATTTAATTACTTTCTAACAACTATATCATTAATTTACTTTGAATTATTCCATAAATTTTCTATTTTTCATAATCGTGATTGTTTTTTCACCATTATTATTTTTTATTTTTTTTAAAAAAAGGGTTGATTTAATTAATAATTAAAAAAAAGGACTTAATCCAAGCCTTATATATACTCATTCACACTAAACAAAGTGGGATGTAAGTTAAATAGAATAAATTGACTGAATAAATTGATTTTGACCCACTAATTAAATGGCAAATATTGTTATTATTTAAAGTTTGAGCAACTTGAATTACTTTATTAAAATAAAAAGAAAGTAAAATAAATGTAATAGTAACACACACACCAAAATAATAATAATAATAATAATAATAATAATAATAATAAATAAATAAATAATTGTATCGTGAACACGACTCTCCACAATGGTATGATATTGTCCACGAACTTTCATCCACCACTAACACCTCTCCTTAATCGAGGCTCGACTCCTTTACTTTTGTTGAGCTTCCCCAAAATGCCACGTACCAATGGAGATACTATTATTTGGTTATAAACATATGATGATTCTCTAAATTAGCCGAGGTGAGACTTTCATCCACCAACGTATATTACCTTTTCCCTTTCAATTTTCACATTTCAACTTCTTGATGGCCCTTACCTGCCGGTGTGAATAATTATCCTTCTAACTTTTTTTACTTTTAACCATTCATACGTTAATTTATCATTAGACTTTTAATAATTTATATTATATTTTTATCATTTCAATTGGTATGATTTTTCGGTCCAATTTAAACAAAACTCAATTACTAAATACAATACACATCCCATCAATGAAAATATTAAAAAAGCAACGTATGTGTTAAGAATATGTCTTCGTTTAATAAACTTAATTTTAACTTTTTACCATTTTATCCTTAAACTTAAAATATTTCAAGAATCACAACTCTCTAAATGATATGATATTGTCCACTTTAAACATAAGCTTTCATCGCTCTCCTCTGTGCTTTTCCAAGAGGCCTCATGGTAATGGAGATAGTATTGTGCATCATCTTCTACTAAATTAATTAATATGAGACTCACTTTCAATAAAAACATATCATGTTTCAAGCAGAGAACTCAATGGCATTTTTCTGGGTAGAAAATTCCGGGCATCCTCCCTCCCAAACATAGCTTCAAATGGGCGCTCCCAGTTGATTGACCAAATTTGATTAATTTTTTTTTAATAAGGAAGAACAAATCCAAGTAAAATGGAATATTCAAAGTAGGAGCCCTCTAAATATTTTAATTTAATGACTTGGATTTCCTTCCCGTGTTGTTGGAGTCTCTATATAAACCCCATTTCATGGACCTTCATATTCACCACTCAAATCTTAATCTTCTTAACTTGTTTTTCAAACAAGCTCAAGCGGCAACTCCAAGATCATGGCGGCTGTCGTTGATCACAAAACCCTCGACATGGAGCCACCCACCAATGGCAGCTTTCTAGCTCAACGCTGCAACTCATTCCGGTCCCCGAGTTTCAAAATCAAACGCCAACCTGAAATAACTCTCACTATTGACGATGACGATGACGATGACGATTCCTCCTTTGATCGCCACGATGACAACAATGATTACTTTCGGGATTTAATCCGAAAGGGCAAGGAGGAAATCGAGCTGTCCATTCTTGATCCAAGGGACGAGGGCACGGCGGACAATGGGATCCTCAGAAATCCTTCCATGATCCGTCTCACCGGAAAACACCCTTTCAACTCTGAGCCGCCGTTGGACCGTCTAATGCGTCATGGCTTCATCACCCCGGCCCCACTTCACTATGTTCGTAACCACGGTCCGGTTCCAAAGGCTGACTCGTCTAATTGGACGATTGAAATCACCGGACTCCTCGAAAATCCGACAACATTCACACTCCACCAACTTGTCAATGACTTCAGGTGCTTCAATATCCATGCAACTCCAAAGCTCCTAACTTGATTACAATAATTTAATTATTATAGTTAATAAATTTCCTATATGTGATTATTTCTTTATGTTTACAATATTTGAAGGTTTAAAAATTAGAACAAAATGAAATTATAAATATATTTAAGTTGTGTATTTATATTTGACTCTTTTTTCATATTGTTTAATATAGGTCTATCGAGTTTCCCGTTACTATAACGTGTTCGGGCAATCGACGGAAGGAGCAAAACATGTTCAAACAAACTATTGGGTTCCATTGGGGAGCCGCTGTGACCTCTACCTCACTGTGGCGGGGCGTGTCATTACGTGAAGTACTGAAACGGTGTGGCATCTTCAGCCGTCATAGAGGAGCCTTGTATGTATGGATGGAAGGTGCTGATGACCTACCTGGTGGAGGAGGCTGCAGCTATGGCACCAGCATAAGAAGAGAAATGGCAATGGACCCATCAAGAGATATCATAATAGCCTACATGCAAAATGGCGACCCTATTCCACCCGACCATGGCTTTCCAGTAAGGATGATTGTACCAGGGTTCACCGGTGGACGCATGGTCAAGTGGCTCAAACGAATCATCGTCACAAATAGAGAATCTGACAATCATTATCATTTTATGGACAATCGTGTGCTTCCATCCCACGTTGATTCTGAATTGGCAAATGCTGAAGGTATTATTATAAAACAAATATATAATTTATGAAAAGTTAAATTAAAATTCAAATATTGCCTCGTCCTTAATGAATTAAAAGTGAATTAATTGTGGATATTATTTAGGATGGTGGTACAAACCAGAGTATGTTATCTACGAGATGAACATAAACTCGGTGATAACAACGCCATCACATGATGAGATGCTATCTATCAATTCACAGACGA